GGAGGGGCGTGGGGCCAGACAGGCATTCTTGATGGGCAGTTTGCTATTATCTATATATTAGTGGTGTTTCATTTAAATCACGGAAGAAGTATGGATTTAGGAAATACAGATTTTAACTAAAAATTGGGGATTTTTTTTTTTTATCAGAGGAAGCCAGGATTCCTGCTTCTGATCTGTAGTAAGGCAAGGACCCAGAGCTGAGTAGTTTTTTTTAGTTGTGAAGCAGTCACCAGTATTTATGTTGTAATTTAAGCTTGAAACTGGAGGATTGAATTTGGCTAATAGGGAGGCCACAGGGGTATCTGAGGGGCACCCAGAATACAGCCCAGACAGGGTCAGAGACCACAGGCACAGAGGGTGCAAGCATCCTCACTTGGATTAGGGATGCGAGGAGGTTGAGGTAGGCACTAAGACAGGGACAAGGGGGTACCTGAGCAAACCCAGAGGAAAGACTGACACTAAGGAGCTAGGCCTGATCAAGTGGGCCTAGGCTTAGAAGTCTGTAGCAACAGCAATCAGCGGGCTAAAGCCAAGAGGCCTGAAGCCTGTACCAGCTAGTTTTGGAATGATTGCATATCATGTCCATGATTCTTATCCCATTACCTGGGCTCATTTTTGTGACTTCTTTGTTCCTATGGATTTATTGCTTCTTTGTTTGCCTCTCCCAACACTGCCTTCCTTTCCCTCCCTTGGCTCTTGAATTCTAATTTCTCTCTCCTTCTTGTACTCTGCTTTCTTCACATCCTTTCACACCATTTAATGAAGCTTCAGTTCACAAAAGCTTGCGCTATATAAATCTACTTTAGTTAGTTTATAAAGGTGTAGATTTACCTGTTTTCCTCTTATTCACATGAGCTGGTCAGGTTTAATGTACCAAACCAAACCTACGATTTAATTATTTCCAGAACTTTTGCTCTTTTTAATGAAAACCAAAGTCCACATGTTTGCAGCCCTAACTGCTCTTACTCATTCTAGTGTCAAATGTTACAAGTCAATTAACAGAAAAAAAACTATAAACACTGCCCTACTAAAAATACAGGGAAAATATTTTGGATTTGGACACACTTAGAAAAAGAATATAAAAATATAAAATAATCAGATAAGTCTAAGACCAAGCACCTCTGAAGCTCAAACCATATCAGGACTATGCACAGACAATATAGCATCTTCACTTAAATCTGCTAGAAGCCTAGGTCAGTTCAACTAATGCAAGCTTCTGCATGGACAGTCATCAATATAGACCAGTTTTCATAAAGTAAATTGATTAAAGTTTAAAAATCACCTTTTTAGTTACAATGGGTGCAACTTTTAAGATAAGACTTCATCTTAAATAACCAAACACACAGATTCTGCCTTATCTAGTCACCTGAAGTAGTTATTTCAGCTCTTAAAGTTATCCCCAATTACATGAATGGAGATTGCTAAGAAGCAGGGCAATAGGTCACACAAGCAAAAACTAAGACAGAATCTGGCCTATATTTAAGTACCCATGTCACTGTCTAACGATTTTGGCTTTGTTTCAACTTGTTTTGAGTCAACCATTCATTCAAAGGTATTACATGTATCAGGTATCTAATCTTAGAAATTTAATGAAAAGTCCTGTAACAAAATATGTGAAACTATGATTTTAAAAGACTGAACTCACACCAGGTGAAACTCTTTTAATTATGAAGCATCAGAACATTATTTTTAAAAAACATTGTAAACATTTCCTGAGAAGTCTTATAACTTGAAAAATAAAAGGAAAGAAAAAGAAACCTAATTCCCTTTAAGATTGGCAAATATGTTAATCCCATACGGGAGTATTTCTAAGTGGTTTATTTCATGTTGGGTTTAGCCAAAATGTTGAGTGTTGCTGAACATATAAGATAGAGTTTCATAGCCTCTAGAAGGCAACAGCAGCAAGGGGTGAGCACCAGTTTGGTGCTTCTAAACAATTTGTCTCCTTGTAAAATATGATAAGCAAGCATACAACCCTCAAGGCACATAAGAATATGAAAATGGAGCTGTTGCACTGCCACACAATGGTAGTTGGAGTAGGCTGATTGACAAGAGTTCATATCCTTTACATGGGGCCGAACACAGGCAGCCTGGGCCCCTTCACAGTGCTCGTCAGTGTACCCAGTCCTTGGGATTACGCAGGACTTCTAGGATCTCAGCTTCCTTGGAATTCTCTGGTGGTGTGTGCATGTATTCCCACCTGCAAACAGAGGAATGCAATCCTTAGAGCCTGGCTGGCCAGGGGACCACTTCTCCAAAGCTGTCCTCTAACTGGATTTCAGTAAGTCTTTCTGGATTGGATGCCACAGCCACACAACTCAAATTCAAATATGTATTCACACACACACATGCTGCACTTAATTGATAAGGAATTTAAAAAAAACAAAACCAACACCCTACTCCTCCTATTCTTCCTGGGAGGGTTGGAAAGATAGGGGTGGGACCAAGTGATTCTTATACTTAAATTGAATCAACCTCTTTAGCTTCAGCTATGCACCCCTTCCACATAACCATTCCTTACAAATTGAAGTGCCTTTAAATGCTTTAGGAGTTGCTTCCTCCCCTTTACTGTGCCAAACAAAAATTAAGTGTTTTAATTAAAACATGTCCCACAAACCACCCAGATTATTTCCCTGGGCAGGAACATCCATGAGACCAAACATTCTGAGGTTTCCAAAGAACTGCTTGAGCTTTGAGAGAGTGAATGAGGCACCCTGAGGAGATGAGGACCATGTAAGAAGCTAAATAAGAGAGCTTGGAGTGGAGGCAACAAAAGAAAAACATGGCACTTTAAAACTTCTCAAGGTTTGTCTATACTGTCTCCACCACGAGCCCTCCCAAGGCAGAGCACCTGACTATGGTGCCGGGGGGGGCTGGTGTTTAGGCCTTCTCTAGCTGCTTAGTTTCCAGGCTTAAGTATATGCCAAGCAAGTGCTAGTGGGTAGGACTTACTTCTCAGCAGCACTCCCAGTCTTGCCTTAATGGCACGGACACAGCACTCATTTCCAGGCACCACGTGGGAGAGCAGGACCCCACTTTCGGCTTCTGCACCACGTAGCAAGTGAAATACTCTTAGTTTGTTTTTCTTTTTAAATAAGGTGTAATGGGCTGCTGAGCAAGGAGCTATGGCTGAAATAGCAAGAAACCTTATACCATAGGTGGGACATGGAAATAAGTCCTAATAGAAAAAGCAGTTGGAAACTTCCACCTTGTCCTTTTACTGGAAACTACTTTTTTTTATTCAGTAGCGAAGGAGTGTACTGTGGGCAAAACCAGTCCATCCCACCATTATGCTGGTATCTCAGCAATGGGACTGGAAAGCCAGCCTGGTGATGTAATCTTGGTGTGTGGGAACACACCAAATACAAGTTCCAGTGTCAGCTAGCTTGAACAAACCAGACAGTAGGAAAGGGAACACATCCCTGCCTAACACTCCATGTAACATTTGCTCTTTCCTCACCTGGCAGTCAGGGGCAGAGACATAAGAATGCTTTCAATCCTGGATCCTGGCGTTGCAAGGCCAAACTTTGTACCTCTGTCATAAACAAGATTGAACTCGACATACCTGCAGGGGGTAAGACACAAAGAATAAATTTAGTGTCACATCAACTGATGCCTTCAAGTAGCAGAGGGCTGTAAACAACAGCCACCAGCTCGGTCTCCTTGCCCTATCAAGGCACAAAAATAAAGAGTATCAGTTTGGGACCAGCCTCTTCTCCTTCAGCATGCATACAGAAACGAAGGCAGGGCCTTGTCCCCGGTAAGGAACAGGAAGGAGACTGGCACTGCAAACACTAGTCACAGAACAAGGGCAGAGTTCCCAGTAAATCTAACAGACTATGAACTAAAGAGGACAGTCACTAGGGTAAGAGTTACTGCAAGCCCTCCTAACTTACCTCAACCCACCATGACCCAAGCAATTGCAAGAGCCTTTTAAAACAAGGGGACTTGGTGCCATGCAGCCAGACATTTGGTTAGCCAATGGCTTTTCAGACTGCATCGTTCTATTACCAGCAGGAGGGAGGATGCAGAGGAGAGCATGAATTAGCCTCGGGGATGGACAGGCCCAAGCACAGACCCAGAATAGAGGAGTACAAAGGAACCTCTCTATCACAAAACAAGAACTGGAGTAACTGAGGGTAGAGGCAGATGTAACAATTACATTGGCATCTAAAGGACACCCCTACAATCTGTAAGGATGCAACTATTATAGCTACATAGTTCTGCAGAGATAAAAATTTAGCAAAACTGCTCCAACAGTAACCTTGTTTCATCCAGAGTCACAATGAGGGCAATTTAGCTTGCTCGTATTGATGCAGGAGCATGCAGATGTAACAGGTATATTGTAATGGCTGGTACATAGTCTCAATCAGCAGCTTTACCTCCTCTTTTAAAGCATTTAAAAGGCAAATTTGTCCACACCTGGAGAATAATTTGTATCAACAAAGGAATTTATTGATATCAACAAGCGATGCAGCTGTGCCAGGACAGACAAGATCATTTAATCCAACAGCAACTTTAAATGGCACAGACCAAAAGGCAAGCTAATACCATCTCTCAGCCACGTCTTCTAGAATTCTATGAGAATTCTTGAAATAGTTCTCTAGGTCCAGACACAAATAGTATAGGTTGGGGTCTACCAAAGTCGAGGCGGCTGCCGGCCAATTTCATGGGCAGACCACAGGCCTGGCAGCTATGTTCATGGGTGGAGCACAATGTGCTACCTCCCCACCTCTGATTGGGTGAGGGGCCCTGGTGGCCTCATGCCTTGCCACTGATTGGCTCCAAGGAGTATCCATCATATGACCCACCCTTTCATTGCTGATTGGTGGCAAGGGGTGGGACCATATGACAGACAGCCTTCACAGCCAATCAGTGACTAGGGATGGGGGGGGGAGAGTAGCCATCCTGGTGGCAGCCCCCTTCTCCCCTGGCAGGCTACATGGCTGGGCCACAGTGGCCACAAGGCTTATGGTTCCCTGAAAGGAGCCAACATTTTATTTTTGGTGAGTTTTTTCCCCCCCCCAGGGGACCCTGCACGTTTTTTTTTTTGTTTTTTTTTGTTTTTTTACAGAGCCTGCCCAAAATTGTGGTTTCAGTAGGTCCCTAATTATAGGTTTATCAGGCAGTCATGCCTTCCAATCCTGCTCTTGTATTAAAGCAATTTATTTAAGACCTACATCAGGTTCTAATAAAGCAATGCACATGTTTGGCTTGCTATACAACACTTGCTATCAAAGGTGATCTTTTCTACAAACTTGTAGCTACTTGCAAGAGGTAAGTATGGCTAAAATCAAGCTCACATTTACAAATCAGCATTTGGTATTATCCAGTAACTTCTTCACAGAACTTTGTACCTCTTTATAACCTTTATACTTCTGGCAGCAGAACAATTATCAAAAGAGGTGGACTCGTCAACTAAGAAACATTGTTCTGGACTGTTCTGTTCTTCCCAGGTATTTGAGCAGGAGGAAAGTCAGAAAAAAAATTAGTCATCTGACACTTATAACCCAAAGCAGTTAGTATCCTGTTCCTGAGCACAGCCCCAATCCTAGCAGGGACACTTTCACTCAGTTACAGGACCAGGGCCTACACCAGTGGTTTGCAACTTTTTTAGATTCAGCCCTTGAGAAAATGCCAGCTTTTTGCTTTCACTCACTCTTGGACTATGGAAAAAATAATAGAGCAATTCTTCTGTGGCAAATCACTCAGAAAGTTCACAACTGTCAGAACTCTTTTGACTCTATGGATTCCTATTTGAAATTGCTGGGTTTATCTTATGAAATCATGCAGATGTTTGTACATCTGAACAATGCTAATATTGGGTGCTGCCCCATGACATGCTGGTTGTGAATGACTGGCCTAAACAGCAGCAATAACATAAATCTCATGTCAGTTGGTATTTACAGAAAAAGACTATTACTGAGGTTCTACCTACTCTCATACTTGCTGAACTGCCTTTGAAAGCATGTTGGAAAAATGCTTCAAACTACTGGTCCAGCTCCTTTGTCACAGGCACAATCCACAGCTTATCTAACCTCCCAACAGGAGTCTTCCCAGTTGCAGTCTGAAGCCATATTTACCTTCTAAGGGAAATGTTTGATGAAAACTGTATCATCTTTAGCAAGACTTCAAATAAGAATCCATAGTGTCAAAACCATTCTGATTTGTTGTTAGAAAGGAAGTATCCAATTCATATTCAGGCCACAAGGCTGAAGTTCAGTTCACAGAAGGATTATCAGCCCCCCTCCAAGAAACATTGCAACTACCACTGATTCTCACTGAGTGAGCAGTACAGTGGGATGGACCCAGTTGGGAGGAATTGTGAACTACCCAGAACCTCAGAACAGGAGCACAGAGCAAGGCAGGTGGAACTGGGAAAAGGATGCAACTCAGTGCTCTTGCCCTCCAGTAGTACAAGCCCACCTCCCTCACCTGTCTGAACACCACACTGCATATTCCATTGGTAGGTAGTCAACCTGCAAAACATATACTAACATTTTGCACAAAACCAGTTCTCTTATCATCAGACTTTCCTTGATGCAGTTGCACCAGAGCTCTTTCAGCGTCTTGTCTCAGTAGTTACCATGCTGAGAAATGCTCCTGCAGTAGAACAGTAGCTATCTTAACAGCCATTCACATTACACATAGCCACAGTGAGAGGGAGGGTTTCTCATCTTCATTCAGGGAATGAAGGTAGCCTAACCCAAGGCTCTGCAAGAAAATCAAGAATCATCAGCTGTCCAAAACAGCTGTGGCTATAACCTGAAGAAAACTCATTTCCCCGTGTAATCTTCCAGAATTTGTCACAGATATTAAATGCCTTTGTTCTGTCAGAGATTAAAAGATTCAAAAGTACAATTTAACTTCAAAGCACATCTGACGACTAGTGATGCTACTACAGAAACAGAAGAAACAACATTTCAGCTCCACTTGAAAAGAACCATTATTTGCAAATGAAAGGAAGGGGGAAAAAAGGACACATACACATAGGTAGCCAAGGAGACTTTGAATCTGAAAACAAACTTATGAAAATTTTCAGAGAACAGAACAGTTGAAGCTTCAACTTTGTAACTGTTACAGCATCTGTAAGACTCATGTTGGATAAACATGTTTCCTATAAAGCAGTCCATCAATATAGGGAGAGTTCATGAGGACTGTTCTGAGTGAGCTTTAGCCTGGTCTGTAGTTAGACGAATACATCTTTCAAATATTTCAGATAAGGGTTTTCTTCAACTATTAATACACCAAATAAATTAGTTTTTAAAATGAGGTGCTGCTAAATTCCAAAAAGTTATGGAGGGGTGCTGCAAGTCTAAAAAGTTTGAGAACCACAGATCTACACAAAACACTGTGCCAGCTGCTCCTAGGTGGCCTTCTCATGAACTATCCTCCCTATGCTTCCTTTATTACAGAGCATTAAAAACACAAATGCAAGTGTCATGCCTGCTGCAATAACCAATTTCCTTTGAATTTTTAAAATTAATATTTCACTACTGAGAAGGGCTACCATATGTCTGGGTTTTCCAGGACATGTCCTCTTTTTTGGGTCCTCCAATCTCTGTCCAGGTGTTTTTCTGAAATCTGAACAAACGTCCAGGATTTTGCTCTGTTCCACTAGTGGGAGCAGGGGGAGGCCAATTGAAACAGGGGGTACCATGTGTGTCTATGCACATACACAAACGTAACCAGCATGCAGCAAGGCAGGGTGGTGACAGCAGCCTCAGCAGCTGGATATAGCTAAGACTATGGGGGGCAGGGGTTGGAGAGCCAGAGCTTGGGGACTGTCAGGGTGGGAGACGGTGTCTGCTGATGCTGGGGGATGGTGTCTAGGCACTAGGGTTGTGGCACAGCACAGGGGCAGGAGGAAATTCCTACCCTTCCAGTGGGGGAAAGGGGTGGAGGGTGCCCTTCAGGGGCAGTGGGAGCTGCATGGCTGGGATAGTGGCACTGTGGGCCAGTGGCCCGGGTGGCAGGGGCAAGGGACAGCCAGGCCACCTGGTGTGGTGCAGGAGCCCCAGCCCAAAGCAGGGGGTGCCACAAGCCTCCCCTCCTCCTCCCTCCATCCCACACCAAAATCAGACTCGCTCTGCCACCACCCACACAAGTCAGAGCCACCACAGTCACCATATTGCGACCCAGTTTGGATGGGAGCAGTTGGAAACCCTCTCCAGTAGAGCAAAGAGAGCAGGGGAGTGAGGGGAACTGGACGGATGGGAGTGCGCTGTGGGCTGGGAGTGAGGGGCACTGGCAGCACCAAGGGACTGCAGGTTGGGACTGAGAGGCACCAGCATGGCCCATGGGCAAGGGACTGTGGGTCTAGTGTGGGGCACTGGTTGGGCCAGAGGTCTGTGGGTCAGGAGTGAGGGGCAGCAGCAGAGACAGGGGGCTGCAGGTGGGGAGTGAGGTGTCCCCTCCAACAGGTATCCTCTTTTTTGGAACTGGAAATATGGTAACCCTACTACTGGGCATCACTCTCAGGGCTCACGACTAACTTTGAATCAAAATCTTGAAAGTTTCAGTGATTTCAGACTAGGTAAGAGATGACTAGGCAAAGTACTTTGGGAGCTTATAGATGTGGAAAAAACCCCCAGCACTTTACTTTCAGCTTGGTGTATCTTCACACCAAGCACAGTGCAGTACATGCCCAGAAGAGGAATTGTGTCACTTTGACCTGGCTCGCTCACGTGAGTTTCACTGGGGCTTTTTGGACTTTTCTCTAATAGCTGATTGAATCAGCTACTAAATAAAAGTGCCAAAAGGCCCTACTGAAATGTGTGAGCTATACAGATACTGGGGAGCTGGGTCAAACTGTCACAATTCCACTTCCAGTAAAGCACTGCTTTTTTAACACATCTGTCAGCACCCATTATTCCCTTCAATGAATTCATTTTGTATTGTACCCTACTTTTACAGCTAAGTCTGTTTAAACACCTTTACAAAGGTTGAAAAACTCCCCAGTGCAGTTGTGCTAACTTAATTGTGACCTTCGAGGTCTGGCAGAACTTTGTGTGGGGGAACACTGTGCAAGAAGCTTTCCCAAACACGTGTAACCTCCACTCATTAAGCAATATAGTTTAAACTGCAGGTAAGTATAAATTCTAGGATTAAAACCACCTTAACTCTGCTCTTCTCCCATTCCACCCATTGTATGTCATTTGGTCCATGCCCTTCTTACCTTCCTCTACGAAGCTGCTGCCATAACTTTTCCTCAGGAGTGAAAGAATCATGACAGTGTTTCTCCACAATGGGAATGTAACAGGGCACAATGGCTTCAGCACAGCTCTGCACAAACTGAAACACTTCTTCTTTTGAGGGAGAGTCTAGATCATCAAAGAATATGCCACCAATCCCTCTTCGCTCTCCGCGATGTTTGATATAAAAATAGTTGTCACACCTGAAAAAGAGCAGCAATCAAAAGTCAAGGCCGGGAGATAAAGTTGAGACTCAGAAAACTAAAATTCCAGACAAACAACTGGCAAGAGATTACACTACTAAAACACAGAGAAAGGGCCAAAATCTGCAAGTTGATAAACAGCCTCTTTGTCCATTAACTCCAGTGAAGGTTAAGAAACCGGTACACCATGGCAAGACTAGACTACATTTCTTAATGTTAAGGACTAGTTCATGCTGTCATTACAATGCAGCATGTCACTGCTTATCTTGAAAAAAGTAAGTGCTGCAAGCACAATAGCAGATTTTGAAGCAACATGCCTATGCAGGCAGACATTAGTTTTCAAGGGGTTCCACATGCTCTACATACCAAGAAGTTAGGAACACTTTAAGACTTTACCCTAACAGTTTATTCTGAGAGCTGTATAAAAAATTATAACCTTTTTGTGGAATTCTTTGCATAAGTCTTTATGTTAATTCACATTCTAGTCTTTTTGTTAAATCACATTCTCCCCAGATAATTTTTCCTCTCCGTTTACCATTTTGCTGAAAGGTCACTTTTTTGTATTAAAAAAAAATAATGTGAAATATCAATAACCTTTACTGGATGAGACATCAAATTCATTCTTCCTTAGAAACTGAATCTTTATTTTTAAGCTTAAAACCTAAAAGCCTCTTAAGCAATGATTAAGCAAGACAATAGACAACAGAAGTTTGCAACTGAATAAGAGGGAGTCCTGGGCCAAGATCTGCATTAGATCTACTGGCCCTGTTTAAAGGATTCCTCTTTTGCCTTCTCTCTCCCCAATGGTGTGGAAGGAATCTACCTGTCTCTTAGAACTAATATCTCATATATAGTATTCATACCTAATGACTGCTCTTGGATAATCAAAATAAGACATAGGGATATGCATACAGAAATAGAGAAGTTCCTGTTTCCTGTTGCACTTAAAGGATCAGCTTTTTTATTGCAAAGTAGGAGAGAGGATTAGCAAAAAAAATTTGGAAAGCCTCAGCTGCAGATTCAGTTGGAGAACAAGCCTGATGAGAAACATTCAAGGCAGAAAACACAGAAGGCACAGTAAATGGTATTAAAGAGCATGCCTTCAAGATAAGAGAGAAGATAAACACCTCTTTCAACTAGTTCCCACCCTATGCACAACACCCTCTTTATCTGCTGCATTCAGACAAAGGCTAGCAGCTTATATAAAAGGAAACCTTCCTGTAGGATACCATAGCTGGTTTCAGATAAGAGACAGAAAGAGAAGCAGTTCACTGCACATTATTACTGAAGAACACAATCAGTTAGGTCTTTCACATCAACAGTGACATAGTTAAATGCATCTATCTATAAAGCACATACAGTTGAGTTCTCAGTGCAGCTTCCAACAAAGGTAATAATGACCAGCAACTTTCCCCCCTTAACAGAAGGGCCCTACTTACTTTTGATTAACATACTGGGGCTGGAACTATGAGAAGTTCATTGCTGGTCTTGCTACATATGAAAACTGTGAAAGCTTGAACAAAGCTTGCAAAAATACAAGACAATAGTTGGGGCAAGACTGGATTGTGGGTAACAAGACTGCCACAAGAAAATCAAACTTCGCTAATGGCTTGTGACCAATTAAGCATTGAGAAAGTGGAGCTTGTGGTATCCAATACCAGATCCATGCCATAAAATCATAAAAGTGGTTAAAATTATTGGCAGAGTCCTAACACTGTTCATCACATGTGTATTTCCGAGCCAAGACAGCCAAAGGAAAAGTTGGGCCAGTGAGCCAGTGAAAACAAGGAAACTACATATGCATTTCAATTGACCTAACACTTAAAGAAGAGAAAAGGCTAAATATGCATCTCAAAAGAAACCTGTAAAAGGTGCATTGAATATAGGGACACATTTCTCAAAACAGGCATCCAATGTCACTCTAAGGTGTTACAATGTCTCAGTCATTCACTGTACCTCTAGAGTTCTGTAAATAGACCATCACTGATATAAGCTACTACAAATTTGCCCCACTGATATACAAATACCCAAAGACAGGAGACATGGATGATCTTGTGGTCAGGCTATGGGAACAAAGGCCAAAGTTTAATTAATTTAAAATTTGTAAAAAAGCATTGAAATTTTCATTTGGAAGGTAGCGGCCAAGGCACTACATGAACATAAAGTAATGTTATCAGTAAATAGGTGGCATGTATAATCATAAACAACTTAAAAGAACATTTCCTACTGTAAGAAGGCAAGTGCGTTCTTTACAGTTGCTGTCCAGATACAATGTTTGACATCTAGTTACAAAGTAGACTTTGTGCTATAATACGCAATTGTATTATTTATTAGCAGTTAGGCTAGCAATGAATTAAACTGGGAAAGCAGAGCAGCTAAATACATTATTAGCTCCCTTATCACTAAATTAAGATTGCAAAGTGCTTTGCAAACATCAAATGTCAAATTAATGCAGATACAGAGAGTTGTTCATACATACTTGGAAGGCAGAATTTGGCCCCAGTGGAGGTTCTGCAGCATTCCCAGAATATGCTTAACTGAAAATCCCCTAATACCCATCTGAGATGAAGTAATGATCAACTTAAAACAAGTGTTAACACAGGATGTTTTATGTAATCCAACCTTGCAAAAGCAAGAGAGACAAGAGATCCAAAAGCATTTCCTTCACTCTTACATACCATTTCTTATACTTGGGGTACAGTTCTGGACCATGCTTATCACAAGCTTCTTTCAAAGTTTCGTGAAAATGAATGGCATCCTCTTGGTTCAAATAAGTTGGAGTAAGGTCAGTTCCACCACCAAACCACCACTGCTTAGACCCTACAGAAGAGAAATGTGTAGTAGTTATTTCATTCTCAAACCACCCCATTGCTACTTGTCAGACTTAGAAAAACAAATAGAATTACAATTAAAAAACCCCCAAACTTCAGGAATAGTCAAAAGTAACAATAAAAATATTTACTTGAGTCTGAAAGTTATAAAATAAACCACTCAGCAGAGAAATTTCTATTATATTATTGCATTCTGCATATCAATCATTCTGACTACCAATTATTTTGTGGCATTTCAATTACACAAGATTAGTGTCTGGCTGGTACTGCCCTGTACAGGCTTCCCCAAAATTGCTCTGAATTACGTAATTATTGCCAAGAGCCCATCTACAGCATATGGGTTTAAACTAGTGTTAGACACAATGCATCCTTTGGAAAATGCCAACTCTTAGCATTCACTCCTTTTTTATCACAGAAAAATAATGAAGTAATTCTGCTGCAGAGAACTCAGAAACACCACGACAGATCAGAAAGTTTTTGACATTATTGACTTCTGTTTGACATCTCTAGGTTTATCCTGTGAATCATGTGTTTCTATTTGCACACCTAACAGCATCCCACAATACTCTTTAAAGGATCTCATACCACCCCAGGGTGCTGCAGTACATTGGTTGAGAAACACTGATTGAGAAACACTGGCAAGCAGACAGCAAAAAAAGTCATTGCTCACATGAGCAATTGCTGTAGTTCCCAGAAGAAAATTATGGGATAGCAAATGGGAGGAAGTAGCTGCAATGCTAGTGAATGGGACAAATGGTATCCATTTGCTGAAGATGTTCAGCAGGGATTGTCAGATGTGGACCACAAGACCCTAAATTCCCTGTTTTCTTTGTTGAAAAAGAGAAACAACGTTGCAATCCCTACACTTTTCTGAATAAACCAAATTTCACACAGAATTCTCTCTATCTGCCCGGCTATTTTAAAAGGGTACATTCACATTTATTACATTTTACAATTTTTAACCCCATGAGAAAGGACAGAGTTGGTTTGAACTACTGTCAATAATCAGGAAAGATGCAATAACAAGGAAAGATATTTAAACTCCGATTTTCCCATGAATTGGATTATTAACATTTATCTGGCTTGGTATTATGTCTCACTCACGTTATACTCAGTCTTAAACAATTACAATTACAATATCCTACACTGATCACTTCACAAGCAGCAATTAAGTTGTAAATGCCTTTAAGGTGGTTGCAAGTATTATTATACACATTTTTTTAAAAGCATAAACAAAGTCTTAAGGGTCAAATTGCCCAGTGTGATCTAATAAACTTGGGGGACAGCTGGAAACAGAACTAAAGCCAGTCGTAATTCTTTGCTCTAACCATAATATTATGCTCCCTCCAAATCAAGTCTGTGTCCATATTTCAACACACTTGAGATTATCAATCTTACCATCTGCTTGTTCAATTTCAAAATATCTGTAGTTGAAGTGTATAGTTGGAACATGAGGATTCTTCGGGTGGATAACAGAGCTTACACCCATGGCACAAAATGGTAGCTTACCTAGACAGCAACAAGCACATAAGAAGTAGATTTTAAACAAGAGAAACAAGCATCATGAAGGCTTTCAAATTATGGCTCCATTCCTACAACTAGCTCTATATAGAATCTCATTGAAGTTTGGGGACTACAAAATGGGTCTCACAAAAAGGAGCTAATTAAGAATTAAAGGATCTCTCAGGATTATTGCTAAAATGTACTGCAAAGAGCTGGTACTGTGTGCATGCAGTCTCCTCCCAAACAAATTACAATATTTGGAATATGAAAAAATTCAGTGATCTCAAACTCTCACAGAGCTCAGTCACTTATTACAGTGTTCTCATGGTCAGAAAACAGACCCCAAAATGGCACCCAAAACACCTCAAATACTTGTTTCCTGTGTATCCAGGCAGCAGAGGAGCTATGGCATTTTGCTAAGACTTGAGAAGTGAGGGTTCAAGCCTTGCTCTGGACTCATGCCAAAGACCACCTACAGTTGTAAATAAGCCTGTGTTTGTTCAGGCTGGGAAGTCAAAGGTGGTGAGACATGATGCTGACTAGGGGTATGTGATCCCGATTTCAGCCTGATGGGGGACAGTAATTCGATTCATAGATTCAGATCACTGTTCTCGATTCGATTCGGCCGAATGCGAATCTGAAGATTCAGTGCTGATTCAGAGAATCAGCAATTCAGCCATAGACACAGCTTTAAAGATTTTTTCTACATATCTCGAGGTACCAGGTGTGGCTTGTGAACGCTGCGATGCTGGGGCCGATGGAGCATCCCACAGAAGTGCAGCTCCCCCCGCCCCGGCATGCTCAGCGGCAAACCCAGAAGTCAATCAGAAGTACTTCTGGGTCCGCCAGGGAGCGCGCCAAGGGCCCCCCCACCCCGGTTCGGTGACTGGCTGGAGGGGGACCCTGGGTGCCCCCCAAGACCTAGGAGATGCCA